TAATAGTAGATCTCCCTCTCCTTGCCCCGTGGACGTAGGCAGTTTGCCGAACCACGTAAAATTGATTGTTTGAGTTTGTGGCCATTGTAATAGTTTTTAGGATCCCTCGACGCGCAGTCCTAGAGCTGACGAGAGGAAGAGCTAATATTCCACTTTGATGGGATATTAGGCTTCAGATTCTTGTTCCCTTTGAGAAACAAGAATTCTTATCGATCTTTCTCTCTTATTGTGCACCAGAAACTCTGCCGAAATTTCCGCTGCGCACAACATCACACCCCAAATGATTAAGGCAAAGATTACGGAACAACGGTCCTTGCAAATGCTTCAATAGAAGAAGTTACAAATCAACAACTATTTCTAGGAAACGCGGAGTTCATTCTTGCGTTCATGATTTCAGAACACAGGCGACCCCTGCGTTCGTTCTCAATTTTCGGCAGAAGCCGAACTCTGTGTCTCAGTTCTGAGACGCGGAATTGAGGCCCAGAACGCCAATCTGGACGTTTTTGACTCATTCAACGTGAGTCGAACGGTTCCAAAACCGTTTCCCACAATCTAGGGGATTCTCACCCACTTAGGAGCGAATTAAGGGGGGTAGTTATACCCTTTTCTGTACGATATTATCTAGAAAGAGCCATATAGGATTTTTTTCCCCTTCCCACGGGGTAGCGTGAGGGTTTTCTGCATAATTAGTAAAATAAGAAATTTCTGACGAATATTAGTGATACAAGGGGATTTTCTCTATCACTTTATCATATTATTATAAAATGTAATTCTAAATGACCAGGTTGAATGTGCAAAAAATATTTCTTACAGACTTGAGCGCAAAATATGACTACCCATCATTACATGAATCACCGCATCCTGATCCCATCCTACGCCACCCAACGCTACCAGATAAGTTCAGAATCCAGACAATTGTGGGTCCCATTTTAGTTACGGAATTATGTGCTGAAATTAATTGGACTCGAAACAGAGGGCCTCACAATAATTTTGCTTTACATCATCCTGTGACCTACAAAGTCCAATTTCAGCCCAACACGAGTCCTTAAAAAAACTTCCACCAAGGTTTGCCTCCGTTTTCTTCTCTCTCGGATCGACGGAATCAATAATTTGAACAGCTCAAGGTTCGATTTCTTGTTCCTTTCCTATCGATTTCAAGTTTATCCGTAAAAATCTATCCCCCCCCTTTTTTTTGAATTGATGTTTGATTGTGGGTTGAATCGTTGTCGATGATGAATTTTTATTGATTTGTAATCTGTTTTATGCCAACTTTAACCTGAACCATTTCATATTTTTCTAAGTTTACTTTTTTTTTGAAGTTGTTCCAGTTTTGTTCTAATCAGTTGGCAATCAGATAGATTAACTTATTAACCTAGATCTTGCTTATGGCCAGCAGGTTTTGTAGAATTTTAACTCTTTTTGGGGGTAGATATTGGCTTTTAGAGCATCTCCAATCACTCGGCAAAATCTCAATCCCTCCAAAATTTGGGGAGTGAATCCTCTCCAATCACCCTCCAAATTCAGAGATCTCCAAATTTGGAGAGTGAAGCTAGAATTTGGAGAGGCTCTCCAAATCATTATTCAAAGTTTCATTATTTACAACTTTGCCAATTTTAACTATTTAATTTCTTAAAAATTACCACTTTGTCATCTTAGTAATTTAAATTAGATGTTTAATGTCAAATAAATATAGTTATAAAATTATTAATCTAATTTTTGAAATAATTATATATTTGGAAAGGTCTTGTTGAGAACTTCAAAATGAAACTAAGATTAATTTATTTTAGTATTATGATAAAATTATTATTTTTTAAATTAAATAAATAAGTATCATACATGAAAATTTAAATACGGGGATCTATTTAACTTGCCCCATTAGAAAATACAAGCACAAATTTCAATATTTAGGTTACATTTCTTCATTGTCGTGCCTCTGCCATAAATGTTCAATTAGCGCATTCCGAAGCATAAAATGAGCTTCCTTATTTTGAATCTTCCTATGTCGATCAAGGAATCGTTGGAATCGTTCGGCATCATCAATCTCCATGTCTTGAGGTCTTGAAGATTCGTCGTGAACAATAATCTCTGGTTCCGCATCGCGTTCATCCTCCACAGTTATGTTATGTAGTATAATACAAGTAGCCATTATGTCAGGTAGTTCCCGCTTGTCTCAAGAACGTAATGGTCCCTTGATAATGGCAAATCGTGACTGAAGAACACCAAAAATTCGTTCTACATCTTTTCGATATCCTTATTGCATAGCAGCAAAGAGCTTCCTCTTAGGCCATTGTGGTTGGGATATTGTTTGTACAAGAATAGATCATTTAGGGTGTATCCCATCGGTCAAAAAATAACCTATATCATAATTCTTTCCTAAAATACTATAATTAGCAGGAAGGGAAAATACCTTGTGCTAGTTGGTCAAACAAATTTGAAGATTACAGTACGTTAATATCATTGTTAGATCATGGTAATCCAAAAAAACATGCCATATCCGTAAGTCATATGTGGCTATTCCCTCGAGAATCGTTGTTGGGCCTTCGTGACGTTTCGAGTACTGTCCCGCCCAAGCCGTTGGACAATTTTTTTATTTCCAGTGCATGCAGTCTAAATTACTCAACATTCTCGAAAATCCGCACTCTTCGTCTTTCCTTAGCAACCGTGCAATGTCACCTGTAGTGAGATACCTCAAATATTCATTTCCGAACACCTCTATAATTGCTCGACAAAACCTCTTCAAGCATTGGATTACGGTTGACTCACCAATCCTAATATATTAGTCGGTACTATCCGTCGAAGTTCCGTACGTCTACATGCGGTGCGCTGCTATTACTTTTTGTAAAGTCGATAATCCTAATACACGAAGACCATCTCTCTTCTGCACAAAGTAGTTGTCATGCTCTTTTACTCCGTTGACAATGTGAAGGAATAAATCTCGTCGACATCGAAACCTTCCTGCAAAAAAGAGCATCCCCATATGTGAGTTTCTCAGAAAAATAATCGTGCCAAAGTCGAGAGTTACATTCTTCTCTTCCACGATTGATCACCACATGGCCGATAATCGATTCCTTACGTTTTCGTTCTCTGCTCTCTTGAAGACGACGAGTCAATATTTTCTTCAAGACTTCATCTCACTCCTCCTGCTCAGCTTCTCCCAATATTGAAAGCAAAGATCGAGGGTCTCTCCATCGGAGGAAGAAGAAGAGTGGTTCTAAGATGACCCTTCTCCAAAGCTCATATTTTATTGTATAGAGAGAAAAAAATTGTGAAATATTGAGTTTTGCATTTAGAGTTCATATTAATAAAGAGTTGTGAAAGATATTATCGGGTGATGTTTTCAAGATCCCTGTTCGATCGTGTCAATATCGAGTCCCATGTTTATCTTCTTGCAATCACCAGATTCCAACCATCACCTCTTGTCGGGTGATGTTTCCAAGATCCCTGTCCAGTCGTGTCAATATCGAGTCCCGTGTTTGTCTTCTTACAATTACTAGATTCCCACCATCACCTCTTGTTGGGAGACTTGAATTATAAATAATGGTAGCTTTTATCCCATATGGTCACACTTTCATCATTTCTTTCTGATTTATTTAAACAACTACTTTTGTCCACCAATCTTTCTTCATCCACTATGACATCTGTTCGAGGAAAATCATTCAGTAAACAAGAAGATCAGTTCATGTGCTTGGCATGGCTTGAAATTTCTCAAGATCTGGTCTCAGCCACATGTCAAAAGAAAGATAAGATCTGGGAAAGGATCACAACAATATTCCATACAAAGGTAGGTGATAGACAACAGACAGCCAGCAAGTCGGCCTATTAGAAGAAAGGAGAAGACAAAGAGAAAAAAGTCAGCGGAATTTAGTTCTAAGGAGGAAATTATTAAGAGTATGCAAGAGATGGATGCTAAACGTGAAATGAGCATGAAAAAATTGAGCGGTTGATGATAATAAAACTTAAAATGAAAAAGTAAAATTAGAATTGCGAGCTAGAGAAGTAGAACAACGTGACCAACAACTCTTCAGCGTGAAAGCGAGGATAGACAAATTATGTTGATTGATCTAAGTAAGATCGTCGATCAAAGTGAATGTGCTTACTATCAACAAAAAAAAAACAATAAATTATTAATAGAAAGGAATATAGAGCTCCATCATTCGACTATGGATTTTTCTCCAGAGGGCCAAGAGAATTTTCTTAGCTTCTTAGAGGAGCTGTAGGAGGAGAAAACGAATATGGATTTCTCTCTGGAGATCAAGGAGGATTTTCTCAGTTTGCGAGAGAAGCTGGTTCTGTAGGAAGAAATGAATATGGGGTTCATCGAGAGATCGGGATGGAACCGATAGTGATAACGATAATGACCTGTCGGAATTTTAATTGTCTGTTATCATATTTTATATTTGAGGTTTATTTTTGCGACCTATGGTATGTTGTATTAGAGGTTTATGTTTGCTTCCTTGTTCTATCGATGTATGCTTTGTCACTATTATTTTAGATTTTTTTAATATGTTGTATTGCATTACTAATATTTGGTTCATTTTAAAGCTCTCGTCGACACCTTTCCGACGTCATGATTTTTTCCAAATAAATTATTAAAAATAAAATTATTAATGTAAATTATATCCAACATTATTAATTTATATGGTTTTTTTGACAAAAAAAATAATAATAAAAATATTTAAAGAGCGTGGCTTGGAGCAAATCTCCAAATTCCACTCTCCAAATTAGAATATTCTAAGAATATTCCAATTTGGAGAGTGGAATTTGGAGAGTAGGGTTAGAGATGCTCTTATGCTAATAAAGATGAAGATGATTTTTTTTTTAAATTTCAAAGAACTGGCTTAAAAACATGCAGAAATATTAATAAAAATTTAAGGCACCAGTCCCTACTGGGCTACTTCCCAGACTATTTGTCCCTTCTTATCCCGAACTTTTTTAGTGCCTAGATGCCCCCCTAAACTATTGACTTAGTCACCTGCTTATCACATGAACTATTTCGGTGCCACATTGCCCCCTGAACTATCACTCCCTTCGCATAATTATATTAGAAGTATCCACAAAATAATAAACCACAGGTCATAACTAGGTACTGAATTTGATAGTTTAGGGGGTAATGTGGGACTAATATTGTTCAAAGGGTAAGCAATAACCAAATTAGTACCTTTTCCCCCTCTTATTTTGTATGTGCGTGCGCGCATGTGCGTGTGTTTTTTTTAAAGGGTGGTGGGGATGGGGGTAGGGGTGGGGGGTTGGGGGGTGAGTGCGCGCATGTGCGTGTGTTTTTTTTAAAGGGTGGTGGGGATGGGGGTAGGGGTGGGGGGTTGGGGGGTGAGGATTGAGACAAAATTTAGTTTGGCGTAAGGGACAAATTCAGTAGTTTGAGAACAAATACGGGCTGAAACCAATTTCTAATTTTGTAAGACTAGAGACATGTCTCGCAAATTTAGCCAAGAAGAAATTGTAGGAATGTTGCGGTTTGAGTGCAGATTCTATTAGAACAGCCCCACAGAGAGGGGTAATCTATGACACTCATGGGCGATTGGGGTGTTAGTAATGGGAATTTCATCTCTTCTGGGGGTTCAAACTGGTGCTGGTTTTGATAGGATCCTTGGTGTCATGGTTTCCTGCTAGAAGTTCGAAAAATTATGTTGGTTATAACCCACAACTGTGGAAATTTTACTTTTAAACCAGATGGATGGGTGCATGATTAAAGCCAGCAACTTAATAATATCTAGATACTTTTTAATCATATTTGTACCACAGTTGAATGATTTCTTACTGTTATTGAATTTTTAGTTTCTCTTCATTATAGCATGGAACTGAACCCATATCAGAAATAGAGTACTATTTTCCTGAAAACGTGGGAGGGATCTGGTAAAAGAGATTTCATGCTGAAGGTGGGGACTTCTGTTACCTGTGTCACTCAAGTGGGGAACTCATTTTTGAGACACAGACCTTTATAACAGTACTACTGAGTGTGAGTGGGATGATATGAGCAAGCAAATTGTGTTCTTTCAAACATTGGAAGAAAAGGGTGGCATAATGGAAAGCTAATATAGTCTTGTATCTTCTTAAAGCCGAATACATAACCAGTCTGTAGCTCATATGAGGATCATAATTTTATGAACTTTAAAACACGACTATATTCATGAATGCTTATCAACGAGAGTTAGAATATTAATGAAATTTTCAGTGAGTTACCCTGGCATGGCAGGCTGATAGCTTAGAAAGAAATGGAAGACAACACAACACATTAAACTACTTTGTGCACGTTCACTTGCTGAAGTTTGTTTTGTTCATGAAAGGAAAAAAATGAACTTTTGATTTGCCTTGTAAACTGCGAATAGGTCATCAGAGAACTATTGAAGGCATAGCTAACTTTTTTTTTGTGAGAAGTTATTTATTTTCCATAGAGGTTGGAGGACCAGGCCAAAGTATTTGGCTCTGAGGCTGGTCACTGCTTGCTGGATGCCATGGGGAGTCTTATATTCTTTGATGGTTACCTTTTAATCTGATCAGTTTCCTCCTTCCTCTAGATTATGCCTAGAAGTATTATGGGAACTATTACCTTATTATCAGTTGCTGTTCCAGGTTTGTGGCAAGTTCCTCCCTCCTTCATTTTGTTTTTGGAAAATTTTGGCACTAACTGTTGAGTGTGTATTTCTGTCATGCAACATCTCATGAAGATGTAATGAGTAAATAAATACCTTTAACATATCCTGTCTAATGTTCAAGTAAACATTTCGATGTCACTTAACTATTGTTGTTTCTATTAAAGCTTATAAAGCATAAGTGTGGGTGAAAGCATAATAAGATCTCCCTGTCATTAACATCTGTGACACCCACACTTTAGTCCCACATGGACTAGTGTGAAGAAATATTAGTGGCTTAAATAGAGAAGCCCAAAGCCCAAGAACAACTAGTGCCAGCATTTTGGCGATAGATTTAGTCAACCCACGAGTTGCTCTCCGTGAACCCACGGCTTGCACGCGCTAACGGGCCCATGGGTCCGGGTCATGACAAATGGTATCTCAAACCTTGTCACGTCCCAGTTCCAAAACGTAATATTTTGGAATGTGACTCGGTCGGTAATGTAATCATACAGTCACATTCACGTCTCTGGATCATCCTGTATATCAATATAAAGCCAAAACTACACCATAGAGCATGTAACCAAGATAATAAAAGAAATATATAGATGAAAAAATCTCCAAAAGAACAAAGTCTGAATACGAGTTCACAACTATCCACCATGGAAAATAGTCAAGAAATTTTTTACATCATAGTCTAGGAAAGTCACATGTGACTCAAGATAAAGCCTAAACCAAATAACTACCTAAAATAACTGAACTGGAGAACTGATAGAATGAACGGTGATCGTCGCTGGGCCTACTCCTCAAAATACTTTCGGTCCTGTGAAGAAAGAACACTCCCAGAATCTAGGGCAAGCAAACCCCAGGGGAGTCAGAAAACTCCTAACAAGCATGTAAAATGAAAAAATTATACGCGTGTAAGTGTATGTGGCAGATATAAAGAAAAGATGAATTCTAAATTAACAGGGATAAAAGAAAAATGCTAATCATGGAGATCAAGATAATGTCCATCACCGATCACACAAGCGTATTATTATTATTTTAGACGTTATTTGAATTGGAGAAGAATATTTTCATGTATATAAATCGGTTCCCCGTAAACCGTCCCGGGAACACGGCTTCAAGTTAATTATTGGCCCTTTGGCCCTTGTATATATATAACTCAGGATATCAGTAATGCGCATGTGCCCGTTTATATATATGTTATATTCTCCGTCCAATTCCCCTTTATAAACCCCATGTTTTCTGTTTAATCTAAGTGACTGTGCATGAAATGTTGTGCACTAACCACAGAGTTACCGTGGAACGACTTTCGTAAAATTATGAAAGATAACCGTGATCCAGAACATGTCCAATCAAGAGGGGTGCATCGTCTAATCGATGCTATAATAGTAATAGCCAAGGAAAAACCTTATATCGGGATATCGATGTCGAGGGCATTAGCCATGCGATGAAAGACACGCTTATAAATTATATTTTTGACGGAAGTCGTCTTCATGCACAATCTAGCCTATTTGATGACATTATTGATCAGCGCGGATTACAACCACACAATCTATTTCAGAGTATAATAAAGTACTCAAAATGAGCTAACAAGTTCACTAAAATAATATAAGATTTAAAACTGATAAGGGAACTAATATTTTGAATGAAAAAAAAGACGACCAATTTGAAAGAATTTTTAGGGCAACAAAACTGAGTTTTAGGGAACCTAGAAACTATATGGGGAAAAATGAATGGTCCAAGGATCGAACCACAAACCACTGCACAGAACACAACCAATCTAACCACTTTGCCCCAAAGCTTTCTGGTGTACATGCTACTATCTAATGTGTAATAATCACACCAATGAGTAAAATCTCTACATACATGACCATAACTAATTGTAAACTGAAGGGAACAAGAAACCAACGATAGAAACAATTTGGTCATAGAGTTTCATTTATTTACAGCTCATGCCATCAAACTATTTACAGCTCATGCTATCAAACTATTTACAACTCATGCCATTTTTTTCTTTGAGTGACACAAACTTCAACCTAACTACTAAAACAGCTAAAACATAGATAAAACTATCACAAATAAGTACAACAATGCTAGTTTAAAAATATATACAATAAATTAATCAAATTAATAACATATGTACAGTGAACTAATCAAGTTAATATCATATGCACAGTGAATTAATATACAGTGTACAGTGTACCAATCAAATGATAACTTACAAAATAATAAAATCATGAAAAAAATAACGAGTGAAAAAAGAATGCTTGCATGAAGGAAAATCAATAATAATAATAATAATAATAATGAAAACAATAATATTTGAGGAAAAGAATGCTTGCCAATTTGTCGAAGAAAAGACTGAACCCCAAATCCCAAAAGAAAATCCAAAACTCGTCCTCTCCTTCTCTTGTTCTCGGTTGGGTTTTCCTTCTTTTTTTCGTTTTTTTTTTCTCTGTGGGGTTGAGGGAAGAAGAGGAGAGAAGATCTATATATAAGGGAAGGTTAAGATTTTTTTTAGAATCCCTAAAACTAAGGGAAGTTTAATTTTTGGAAAAGAGTAGTTGTAACCAAAAACTGCAGGGATTCATGATTGGATGTGGGAGGATCAATTCACAAAGATTTGACCACTGCAGAAGTGGAGTTGCATACATGGGTTTTACTAATGGGCCTTTTTTTTCAATTCCAAATCATGTGGGCCTCTTATATAAGGTCTTGCATAAAAAAATTGACTATTACAACATCTGACCTGCATATCCTGCCTGAAGTAAATTTGAATACTTAAATAGTTGTTAAGGGAAGAATGAAGTCACTGACCTGGATGGAAGCGTTGTTACTGTGTTCTTTTCTTGTTCTAACTCTTAAAAATACATTTTGCTGATCTTCTAACAATTCTCAAAACGTTTTCAGTCTTTTCCTTTGTAAAACTTTTGGATACTTATGTGACAAGTTTCATTGAGAAACTGTTGAAATTTGAAGTTATTTTTCATGCTTCAAAGCTCCTTGTGCTAAATTCGTTTACTCCTCCCGGTTTTTATCGACAGGATAGAAGATGAGTACATTAGATGCAACTAGGGCTGAGCTTGCTCTTGTAGTTCTATATCTAAACAAAGCTGAAGCCAGGGATAAGATTTGCAGGGCTATTCAGTATGGTTCCAAATTCTTGAGCAATGGTGAGCCTGGCACTGCACAAGATGTTGACAAATCAACAAGTTTGGCTAGAAAAGTTTTTCGACTTTTCAAGGTCACTGTTTACATTTAACCCTAACAAGATCTTTTAGTTATTTCTGCTCTGGCAATTACTTATGCCACCCTGTTTCTTTGATCTTTTAGTTTGTGAATGATTTGCACACCCTGATAAGTCCAGCTCCTCAGGGAACTCCTCTTCCTCTCATTTTACTGGGAAAGGTAAATGGTCTCTTTTGTGAAAACCAAATTTTGATAAACTTTGATTTGAGCCAGAACCTCATTTTTTAATGTGTGTGATATTTTCTTTGCAGTCCAAGAATGCTCTGCTATCGACTTTTCTGTTCCTAGATCAAATTGTGTGGGCTGGCAGATCTGGCATATACAAGGTCCAAATTGTTGTGAGATTTCTACCTTTCTAATCTTCTTGGTTGAAAAAAAAAATTAATGTAATTTCTTCATCTTTTTTCCCCTTGTTTAGAACAAAGAACGTGCAGAGCTAATCGGCAGGATATCCCTTTTCTGTTGGATGGGCTCCTCTGCTTGCACCAGTGTAATTGAGGTCTGTTTCTCTTCCTCATTTCATAAGCTATATGGAAAACTTCGAGATGCATTGAATTTACTATTAATGTTAATTCAACTTTGGGCATAAAATGACCTGAATCTGTTGTATTTTTGCTTATAGGTTGCTGAAATTGCAAGATTAAATGCATCAATAAAGAAGTTACAGAAGGAGCTGAAGCAAGCAGATAAGCATAAAGTAAGTTCTACTCCATTCTGGGCACTGTTTATTTTGTACGTCTCTTCATAGACAACATCGAACATAGTATTTGTTCGGTTGTTGCAGTCTGAGCTGTACCTCAGCAAAGCTTAAAAAGTCCAATGAAAAAGGCTTCTATCTCTGATCAAATCATTCTGTGTAAGTTGTCGCAATTAGCCTAATGTATCATTTGTTGGGTTGTTGCAGGATGAGCTGTACCTCAGCAAGCTTCAAAAATCCAATGAAAGGCTTCTATCTTTGATCAAGTCATCTCTGGATATAGTGGTTGCAGCTGGGCTTCTTCGCTTGTCACCAAACAAAATCACTCCTCGTGTCACAGGAGGGCTTGGTTTCATAACTTCACTTATATCTTGCTATCAGGTAGATTTTTTAAGGGGAATTCTCCTCAAATTTTAAAATTGACATTTTATCTCCTCATTTCTACAAAAATAACTTGGATGCAAAAGCTATTACCATAGAATGTGACAATCGTATGCACTCCCATATAGTGGCATTACATCCAAAAGTTGATAATCATTTGAGTTGAAATTGAAAACGAGGGGTAAAGCCTTAGGGGCTTTTCTTGTTAGCCATGCAAACCTCCGAAGTATAATCTTTGATGTGTATATATATATATATATATATATATATATATATATATATAGAGAGAGAGAGAGAGAGAGAGATATGATCTTATGTCAACTTAAGTGGACACCAAGCCTTTGATCTTTAATCTTATGTTGCCTAGAGATCCTTGCATGATATGAGGAGTCTTTTTATATATATAAATGAGCTTTATATATATTAAAGATTATACTTCATCCTACCTTATACTCGTCAAGGGGAAAGGCAGCAAATATTGATCACCATTGTTGTTATTTTATGTGCAGTTACTTCCTGCGGCACCCAAGGCGAAGACCTCTTGAAGATTGGACCCTTCCCTGATAAAAAGTTTAAGCTAGTGTTATGAATAATATTTCAGATTTGTTGGGGATGGTGGCGTATGAGATAAACTCTTGTTGTTCCACTTACATCTCTGATACTATACATAGATATCTCTGTTATGTTATTGGTGTAGCAAACATTTGAAAGTTGCAATACTGATGTGCTAGTAGTTAAGCACTAATCATTTCGTAGCAGTTTCTTTTCCCCGAAATTGAGGTGAAGACAACACAGCTTTTACCTTTTTTTAATGACTTTATATAAACTGGAATTGTTGCTACTGTGTCTTTTGTAGCTTTTTGTGGAGCCTGCATGATCATTGTAGTTGTGCAATGCCTGCATGATCATTGTAGTTGTGCAATTGTTAACTGTGATTACTTTGGCTATGATCCTTTGCTGGCAAGAATATAATCCTTCAGGCGTAGTGTCAGCGGACTTGTTCTCATCATTTCATGTTCTGATCTGATTTCGTCTCCAAATTGGCAAGAAATGAGCTGATCTAGCATTAGCTCCTCTGCCAGCATTTGATGGGTACCCCTGTCTCTGTGTTGGCAGATAAACCAACTTATTTACTACTCAGAAAATTTAGGACTTCAAGATTTAGCAAACCCATCACATTTCAGCTATTATTGGGATTTAAAATACATGGTTGTATTTTCATATCTAAAGAAAATAAAGGGTCAATTTAACCACGAGGGCAAATATAAGATCCATTTACAAAGATGTTCTCAGAATTATAGACAGCAAAGCTGCACGTATAGCCGGAAGACAAAATATAAACATTGTTGTGAAAAGCTCGAAGATGATAACTTCAGGATTTCATCCATTCCTTTATAAAAGATTGATAAGCATCAGACAGGCAAAAAGAAGAAATAAGCTACAGAGGAGAAGAGTTTCTTGTTTTGTGCATGCTGTCGTCTTGGGCACCAGAGCGAGCAAGTGAAGGGGATGAAGTGGCTGCATGGTATGATGAGGACACCAATTGCGCTAGAGCAGGAACAGCACCACCTACACAGCATCAACAGGTACTAGATTAGTCTGCATGCGCTCAAAAGCTCATACATAGTTTGAGTTGAAATTAGGAAAGATGGAAAATATCGATGCTAAACAATAAACACCCTCTGAGATGCTGCTATAAAATGATTGAGAACTTGGGCTCTGATTGCAGTGGAAATACTGATGGAAAATATCGATCGCTATCATAGGTGATTCAACATATAAGGGCTTAACTATGATGCTGATCAAATTTGGCAAAAAGGCTTCCTACACTTTTTATCCTTTTATATCGAGTTGCAGAACAGAAGTTATCCCAGTAGGAGATTTTCCTTTTTAAGGTTAAAAGGTTATCCTCAAGAAGCAAAGCTTATCAAGAGGATAAAGTTGATGTTCGATAAGTACATTTCAGTCTCTAACTGCACTCTGGATGCACTATATAGCCCAAGGACCACGAGCCATCATTCTAAAGAATACTATCTTATGAGGTTGAATGATAAGTAGCATTGAAAGGATCATTCTTTTATAATAATGGAAATCTAATGCATATAATATGTATATGTGGATGTCAATGTAATATATATAGTATAAATATGTGGATATATTTTATTTGCTAGAAGCAGAAGGTGTAAAATCTATGAAGGAAAGAAAAAAGAAAAAAGAAAAAAAGATATGTTACCTGCCAATCCAGCACATGCAGAAGAGAAGACGATGACAGGAGGAGCCTACAAAAGTCAATAAACAAGAGAAATGTGGTTATTTCTTTGCTATGTCTACCGCCAAATAAACGTGTTAAGTGATACAAAAGTAAAAGTGGAAGTAATGTTCTGACCAACTACAACCATTCTCCAATTGACATTCAGATTCAAAGAATATACATCAAAGGCCAATTAGCCCTTGTTTTTGCCAATGCAAAAGAAATCCAGATTTTACATAGAAATATAAGTAACTTGTGCAATACTAGTAATCAAAATTTGATGAAGCTTACATCAAAAACTGATGAAATCTTATAGTAATATAACAGTTGATGCAACACTAATAATCAAATGGATATGATTCTTGAAATTTTATAGTAATATAACAGCTGATGCAACACTAATAATCAAATGGATATGATTCTTGAATCAATTACTAACATGAATAAGTAGAGAAGTTGAAACACATGTAAAAAAAAAACTTTGCAAAGCCACATATATAACCGAACATTACAACATTGCATACTCAGAATTCTAGATTGGGAAAAATGCCATGCTATCACTTCCACAGCTGCTCATGTCAAAGCTTCAACCTACAACTAAGTTACAAGTTGCAGGGAACTGTTATAAAACTCAAACCAAGTCTAGGCTTGGATACCAACTACTTTTACTATCTCAAACCTACTTCCCCAATGTAAACCTAATGGCTAACTAAAATCCATTTCTATCGTGGACCTTTTAACATTCAATTTTTAACTAGAAAAGGTCAAGTATATCCATAGCCATCAATCTCATTCATCCCACCAGCCCTTAACGGGTGCGCAAGGAAGTATTCGAGAGATTAAAGGTCGCAAGGACAAGTAAAGCATGATCGCTTCCGGATACTAATCGTGATTTCTCCAGTACGTCCTCTATTTCATTCCCTCTCTTATCATGTGACATCTCTGTAGATGAATATCTGATCAAAATCAATATGAAATTAACAGGGAGGTTAGTTTTCAATTGGATAGGTCAAAATCCAATCTAAATATTCTGTACATATCAGTTACAAGTAACTTTCCAGACTGCACTTGACTATATGGAAACAGCTACTGCTAACTCAAAATTTGACCCACTAGGCAAAAAATTACGGCACGTTCAACTCAAATTTGAACTATCAGTACATTACCGTTCATTGACAAGCCTTCATCAAAAGGCCCTGATTTTGCTTCATGAATACATTAGCAACCTCCCTCTTCTGTAATGCATTACACAAGGCAGTGTAACAGGTAGCTGCTCCTTCATTAGTCGCCCTCTTTATCTCAAAATGCATTCAGCGACTCCATGATGTTTAAGCAAAGAAAGTGATATGGAGTGACTTTCAGTAAAAACAGGTTCTTAAGTGTGTTTTTCTTCTTGCTTGGTATAATTTTAAGCCATAAAGATGCTCAAAAGATGTTTGCCTCGCCCCCTCACCCCCCTCCCCCCACCACCACCACCACAAAAAGGGAAGAAGATAGATTAAAAGGTGATAACAGTTGATCTATATGATGTGCTTGTATACGAGAGGACAAGCAACAGAAAAGGAACTGAATGGTGATCTACTGAAGACCGAGAAGCAACCTGATGGATAAGATGGATCTTTAAACATACTAGAACAGAAGGTTGTACAAAACTAAAATATACCCATAAAAGGGAGGGTAAAAAATTAATATGCTTACACCAATAAAGAAATGCACCCACATCGGCCCTTTAACATATCTCCTCACAATAGGCATAGCTGCAACAGAATTAAAAAGTTCATGTAATCTTTATGTCAGTTATTTCACAAATATTAACAAAATGTTTACATAGAAGAACCATAACAGTTGTTGAGTATTTTTAGACAAAAAAAGAAGGAACTACAGTTCGTATTTTCTAGCTCAATTTTAGAATTACATTTTATTCTCACAACTTTCAAAATAGAACAAAACATTTCAAATCAAGAATAATGCACCATGTGATACAAAACGGACAAATTGTCATGCAGAAAAAATAATTACACAGGCAAATAAGAGGAAAAAACAGGACCACAGGACATCTAATTTCATATTGTAAACATTTAGAAGCAAAACCAGGTTTACTTTTTCTACTCCCACATAAAGTATCTGACCTCATATTGTATTTAATCTTCTGGAACTCAATCAAAAAGTCTAGAATGTGATCTATGAACTGATCCCCTTGTAATTTCTTTGAAAATGTTCTCCTCTACAGTTCGTTCTATGATTTTTATTACTAGTTATGGTATTTACCCCAAGATACATAAATTTCAGCCCATATACTCCTAAGTACATAATTTTCAGCCCACCTAAACACTCTGCTCCTCAAGTCAGAAGTAGCTAGAATTTCCAAAAGAGACCAACATCCTCACAACAAGCTCTAATTCCAGTATTCTAATTTTTGTTTCCAAAATCAAAAGATGAATACTAGAAGACAAATATTATTACTTATGGTATTAAACTAACAATCCATGATACTTTCTGTTACATTGTTTTTCTATAGCTTTATTTATCTATTTACATGTCATTGATGTCAATTACAGAACGTCTTTTAAAGAACATATCAAAATTTACTCTAAACAGTTTTAACAACATATACAATAGACTCAATAGTCACATAAAATTCCACGCTATAAACAATTTATCCAACTCCCCTGACATTAGAGCAGATCCAAATGTTAGTGTTCAAAGAAGAAAACTACGCATGTCTCGCTAAGAAAATTAACAGGCTATTGTTCATCAATAAAAACAACTTCAATACACAAAGAGAAACACAGACCCTTAACAACCTGAACTTACAATAGTTAATAGGCTTAACTGAACTTAAACACCCTATAGTTTCCCTTACTTTGCACGTATATACCCTCACTTGTTTTTGGCAGCACTCATATACCTAAAGTTTTTAAAACACACACCCACATACCTTAAAAGCTTTTTAACTTGCACTTAAAATACCCTCAAGTTTTTAAAACTTAACACTTATATACCCAAAAGTTTTTAAAACTTTTACTTAAATACCCTAAAATTTCTAGAGATTGCATTTAAATACCTTCAAGTTTGCATAACTTGAGGGCATTTAGGTGCAAGTTTTAAAAACTTACACAATTGCTGCCAAAATCAAGTTGGTGTATATAAGTGCGATTAAGCCTATTTAATTTTCTTCCAGTTCCAGTCAATTTAAGGAGAACAAAGCATACCATGATTAAATCCATAGAATGCGCTAGCTGTTGCACCAACGGCAGAACCAATCTAAACCCATGACACAAACATCGCAAATAAGGCAAAAGTTAAATAAATAAGTAAATCAAATTACTAATTCCATAAACGAAACCCAACAATACAAGATCTCGTACCATAGAGAAACTATCTCGGATCAAGGGGGCAACAGTCCACCTGCTCGTCTCCTTCCATGAATTCAAATGGGTTTCAGGGAATCATGATGGAAAATAAAAAAAAAAACAGAGAGAGAAAGATAGAGAGAGAAAGAGAGAGAGAGAGAGAGAGGATTAAAAAAGATAGAAAGATACCATGTCTTTTGAAAGAGGGCCAGCGCAGTGAGGGCACGTAGTAGGGCGAGAGCTTTGATCCTCCATGGCCGATCTCTCTTACACTCTGAAAAATTAGGTTTTATATAAAATTAAATAAAAATTTTGGGTTTCAGAAAAAAGGGTCGATATCGCTACAGAGAGGAGAGGCGATGGATCCCCTACCGAGAAGGTCGTCGAGATGATGAGAATATAAGGCAGTAAATGGGTCGGGTTTGGGTCGGATCTTGTAGTCGATGATCTAGACCCGGATCCGTTTTGAATTTTGGAGTTGGGTTTTCAGGATATGTGACAGTGTGAGGTATTCTTTTGGGTAAACTTCACAAGAGCCCCCAAAAACTTTGCGGCCTTCACATGAAACCTCTCTAATTTTCCCACAAATACCTTTTTTCTGAACATTGGGTGTCTCACGTAACTCCCCCTAAACTTACAAAATTTCCCTTCTCTTCTTAGCAATGACGGGTTCAGAAAAACTTTCTTGGGGAGAGAGGGGAGGACAAATATCTATTTACCTTAAAATCAAAATATAATATTATTTTGACAATAAATTAAATATAGTATTACAAAATATTATTCCTAACGAATTAGCTAAATTCTCAATTTAAATGGGCTAAAATTCAATTAGAGAGCAAATGTTTAAATTATAGGGGGCGAATTGTAAAATTATAAGGGTAGTTTTATCTTCCTCTTGTGAGAAGTCCGTTTACCTTCACTAAGAAGAGCATGATAAAGTTTCGGGCCTCTTTAGATTATCTTCTTCATGATTGAACTGGATTTTTTTTGCCCTTAGTGTTAATTTTAATTAATAAATTATATTTGGTTCTGGTTTGCTTATTCGCAAACATTCAAGCATCGCTAAAAGTCATCAAATAATAAAGGCTAAATTGCACTTAAATAACCTATTGTGTTAACAACATTGCACTCTACAGTCCTCTATTTTAGATCGTGAACTAAAATGTCTCGAAGTATTTAAGCGTTGCAAATAAATACCCTAAAGTTTAAAATTATTGCACGTTCGTGCCCTCGTGTTTAAATCAATATTGCATGTTGACGTCTTCTTGTCTACCTAATATTGCATACAAATACCCGAAAACGACCTGCTTAAATATCCCTAAGTTCATTAAAGTTTTTTTTACTACCCTCTGTTAAATGATATTTTTGGATAAAGAACATTTAACTACAGATCATTTATCTGCAAAGCTCAAATACTTTAGGGTACTTTTATGCTCGAGTTGAAAATAGGGGAACTTTTAGAGCATTTAAGTGCGCAATTCAATAATATTATAATAATAAGTGGATTTATATACGGTATCGTAACTATCGTTTATCAACTGGATCGAGTATACGTATCCTAGAAGCCCACGGGTTTAAATACGAAGAGATCCGCGTCCGATCCTTCACCAGTCAGTCACAAACCCAAACCCGCTGCTAAATCCCTTGAACCCTAACTAAACCCACTACGATGGCGGGTTTACTCGTCGTGGATAGGGAAGAGGGTGGCCGAGATGGGATTCAACGCGGCGGCGGCGTCATCAACTGGTTCCCCGGTCACATGGCCGCCGCCACTCGCGCCATCCGTGACCGCCTCAAGCTCGCCGACCTCGTCGTCGAAGTCCGCGACGGCCGAGTGAGTTTATTGTCGTTGCTAAAAGTGGGAGTTTTTTTTTGGGGGGGTGGGGTGGGTTCATTTTACTTAAATTCCATGAAAATTGTAGATGAATGAGTGAAATTGAAGTAAAGAACCCAGGCTTGCAAATTAGAGAAGGACAAAATAACTAACTCCCGGCAAACTCTTAACAAGTAAGAATAATTTTATGTTAGGTTCAACAATAAATAGGTTACTGGTACTAATACCTACCTTTCTTTTTTACTTGGGTCTAATGAAAAGGATTAAACGAGATTTTTCAACTAATAAAGTTTAAATCTTTAAAACAGGCAAATCCCCTTTAAAGTATTGGTGAACTCTCAACTTCCCCTCAAAGTATCAGTTTACCTATTTTCTCCCTTAGCCTATCAAATTTAACAGATCAATAAGTTGACAACCTGCAACTTGAAGAAAGATTTTTCCAGTTCCAAAAACGTATAAAGGATTAAAATAAAAAAATTAGGCCAAATGTAGTCGGAACATTTTTTGATACGTCTGTCAGCTCACAAAATGACCACATTGGGCCCATATTACAATTTAAAGGGAAAACATTCAAATTGATAATTTAGGAGGCGAGTTAGAGTACTTAAGTTTTCTATCTAAGTTGCTCCAGTTACTGTAGCTGAAATTTTAACTAAAAAGGTTTTTTTGGGTTAAAGAGGATTTGGTGAAATTTTACGATATCTCCATTTATTAACTGAACATATATCCTTGGTAAGCTTACTATGTGGATGCTTTGTTTATTTTCAAATGCGTGTTTCTTTTATGTTGTTAGGGATTGTTTTTAAAATTTTGAAACTAATTCGGACAGATACCGATATCTTCTGCAAATGAGGATCTTCAACAAGTGCTTTCACACAAGAGGCGCATAATTGCTCTAAACAAGAAGGATCTTGCCAATCCCAACATAATGCTTGTAAGTTCTTTCCCTTTATTTACCCCCCTTCCTTTCTCATCCTTAGGCTTTAGGGGGTTTCTCCTAAGTTTGCTTGATAAAGAATTTGACACTGACTCATCACTAAACTATAGGATTTCGAATCATTTTATGGGAGACGTCTTGGTTTAATCTTAATAACTAACGTTATGGTATATTATTACTCTGCCACTTGGTTACTGCTTGACTTTATTTTCTCACCAGGGTTTGCTATTTTCAGTTCAATCCTTGTTTCGTTCAGTTTTACCAATATTCTACATCACAGCATCTTGTCTATTAGACATTTTATTCCTAAAATCTTGCAGCGCTGGATACAACATTTTGAGTCGTGTAACCAGGATTGCCTTTCAATTAATGCGCACAGCAAAAGTTCTGTCAACCAGGTACTGCTTGTAGTTATTTCAAATCTTACTGATGAGTTGATAGTATCAATTAATAATTATGTAATACTATTAGTTATTTTGGCTTATGCTTTGTTTTGTCAATCCAAAATGCTAACACATATGTTTATCTGTCACAGATATCACATCTTTTTTCTTCTCATAAGCATCTACTGCAATATTAGTTCTATTTTCCTCTTTTTTGATATCTTTTGCATATTCAGTACTTCTTTTTGTGAAAACAGTTATTATTCTTGCTACTTTTCTTGACTCTTGCCTAGTCTAGTGAATTTCAGCATGTAGCTACGACATTGCGTAAACGTATGACTGTACACACGAAGGAATTTACTGCAATTCGTTTTTCTGCTTCTATCATCAGGCTTTATTTCCATAATTTTCTATTCCATGAATTTGTCTAAACTTTTTATAAATTGACGCGAGTTGTCAGTTATCAGGATAAAACCTTAATCACGCATACTGTGGAGTTCCCTGCTTCAACTAGTGCTCCACATTGACTTTTGATTGGACAAAAGAAAAGGGTTTTGAATGATGGTGATGATCATACTGCAATATGGTGGGATAAAACGATGTTTGTCATTGTGTTGTATTATAATTACTTCATTCTCTATCACATTCATAGATATGAATAAAAATGATCTTATATTTTTCCAGTGTAAATTTAGGACATGATGTTTGCCACTTTGGGTATATTTGGTTCGGGTTAGCTGGAGTAACATGTTGTTCAAATTACATCCAAAACTCGAAGTTAGTGTTTTGTTGCGTTTTTTTTCTGTAGTTGGAGCTGCACTAAACTTGAATGCTGCATCAAGTAAACATTGGAATGTGTGCTTGATTGTAGTCACATCAGAAGATGGTAGCAGTGGCTTCTTTATCATATTTTTGCTACAGAACTTCTAAAAAATAGGATGAAGAATTGTTATTAGTTAAAATCGATTATAATTTAGTTATTTCCTTGGAGAGTGTAAAAGTCCCTAGCCATTACACCAAAACTCCGAAGCTGTGGTAATGATTGTGGGTTATATTTTTATATTCTAACATGCTCCCCAGGTTGAGGGTCCTCTTTATGGCCGAAACTTGGATTCACGCAGTGGTGTTAATATTTAGAAAATTCTTTTAATTTCGTGACCGCTGAGATTTGAACTTGAGGTACTTTGATACCATGTCAAAGGTCCTAACCATTACACTGTGTAGGTTTTGAGAAGGGAGAAACTCAGAATGTTTTTATTATCCCTCAAGAAAACGTACATAGCTGAATAAATAGCCTAAGAGGGTTGAGATTATTTTACAGAATCTCAACCACTTATTAATTCAAAAGAAAAGATAAAGCCTATCACTAACAAACTAAATCAAATATAAAATCTCAACCACTTATTAATTCAAAAGAAAAGATAAAGCCTATCACTAACAAACTAAATCAAATATAATCAATACTTATCTGCTATTAATTCAAAAGAAAAGATAAAGCCTATCACTAACAAACTAAATCAAATATAATCAATACTTATCTGCTATCATACCAGATATTTTAAAAAATAACAAACCTAATACTAATCTCCTAGATTCTTGACACTTCCCCTCAAGTTGGAGCATAGATATTTATCATGCCTAACTTGCCTATCATGAGTTCAAAATTTGGTCTTAAAAGCCCTTTAGTAAGTACATCTGCAACTTGTTGAGTTGTTTGGACAAAAGGAAGACATATGATCTTTGTATCAAGTTTTTCCTTTATGAAATGTCTATCAATCTCCACATGTTTCGTTCTGTCATGTTGTACCGGATTGTGTGCAATGCTAATGGCAGCTTTGTTGTCACAATACAACTTCATGGGTAAGTTAACTGGTCTCCTTAATTCTTCTAGGACACGCTTGAGCCACAACATTTCACATACTCCATGTGACATAGCTCGAAATTCAGCTTCTGCTTCTAGCAACAACATTCTGCTTCTTACTGCTCCAAGTGACGAGGTTGCCCTAGACAAACGTGCAATGTCCAGAGGTAGAGCGTCGATCAACTATCGATCCGACCCAATCTGCATCGGTGTAGACTTCAACTCCTCGCTGTTCATTCTTTTTGAAAAACAATCCTTTACCAGGAGTACTCTTCAGATATCTGAGGATCCGATAAACTGTATCTAGATGTTCCTCGTATGGAGAATGCATGAATTGGCTCACTGCACTTACTGCGAAGGCTATGTCCGGTCTTATGTCCGGTCTTGTGTGCGACAAGTAGATTAGCTTACCAACCAATCTTTGGTAACTTGCGGTATCAATTCGAATCCTTTTTTCACTATCCCCAAGTTTTACATTTGCCTCTACAGGTGTCTCAGATGGTCGGCATCCACTCATACCCGTTTCTTGTAAGAGATCAAGTATGTATTTTCATTGGGAGACTACAATTCCTTGCTTTGATTGAGCTACCTCTATGCCAAGAAAATACTTCAACGACCCTAAATTTTTTATTTCAAATTCAGATGCCAAGTTCTTCTTGAGTCTGTCCATCTCCATTATGTCATCCCTAGTGAGTATTATATCATCCACACACAATTAAGACATCAACCCTTCTTCTTGTGAACTTGATAAATAGAGTATGATCAGTTTGACTTTGCATATACCCTTGCTTCTTAATAAATTGTGTGAATTTTTCAAACCATGACTTGGGTGACTGCTTGAGACCATACAAGGATTTTTTTAACTTGCAAACTTTAGAGCCAAATTTCCTATCAAACCCAGGTAGAGGTTCTCTGTAGACTTCTTCTAAATCACCATTTAAGAAGGCGTTCTATACATCAAGTTGTTGAAGGGGCCAGTCAAGATTTACTGCAATTGAAAGAAGCACTCTCACTGTGTTAAGCTTGGCAACCGGCGCAAATATCTCAGAGTAGTCAATCCCATAGGTCTGAGTAAACCCCTTTGCTACAAGTCTCGCTTTGTACTTGTCTAACGATCCATCTGCATTGTACTTGACTGTAAATACCCATTTACAGTCCATAGTCTTTTTCCCTTCAGGCAGGTCCACTACTTCCCACGTTCCGTTTCTAACCAGTAACCAGAGCCTTCATTTCTTCAAGAATAGCTTCCTTCCACTCCGGAACAATTAAAGCATCCTGCACATTCCTTGGAATTTCTATACTGGAAAGTTGTGAGGTAAACGTAAGAAAAGAAGGGGATAGTTTGTCATAGGAAACAAATTTAGACAAGGGGTGTTTGGTACATGAACGAACACCTTTTCTATGAGCAATGTGAATATCTAAATGATCACTATCACAAGAGTTAGGTATAGCTGACGACTTTGAAGAGGAAACCTCCTTCGGTTTGGAGTCATGACTTTGCTGGTGGTGGACCCTTTTTTCCTTGAAAAATTTTCCACCTTGAGTAGACACGAAGTCCTATCTCTGTACCACTTGGTTTCACACACAATTCTGGATCCTGCAAAACTTGTGATGGCATTGGAAGGTTTGTCCTAGAGTTTTCATGCTCTAACACCCTTGTATCTAGGTCAGGTACTACATTGTTTTCACTCTGAGTAAGAGGACCAGGGATTAAAACAACATCAGTATTAACTGAATTAAGTCCTGGTCCTTCAGTGCTAAGTGTATTCCTAGTGATCTAGCCGAATCTGCCAGTTCAAAATCAGCTGGTTGTGACCCTTCTGTAACAGAATCAGCATCTTTTCCTGCAATGGTTGAGCCTACACGGTCTTATGTATGTTCGGTTTTTTTAGTGTTTGGGATGTTCAATGTGGAGATAAAATCTAATGTTGTGTGCTCACTACCAAAGATTTCTGAAAACAACTCATCTTCACTTTCATTCTTAGAATCTAATGTTGTGTGCTTACTACCAATGATTTATGAAAACAACTCATCTTCACTTTCATTCAACCCCTGAAGATGAGCATCCACAAAATATTTTTGTGTTTCAAAAAAGGTAACATCCATAGATGCAAAAAATTTCGATTAATGAGATCAAAGCATTTGTAACCTTTTTGAGTTGGTGAGTAACCAACAAAAACACACTTTTTCGTCATTGGATCAAGTTTTCCACGATTATGACTATGATTATGAACAAAGGCTTTGCATCCAAAATTTTTCAAAGGAATGCTATATATAAGTCTAGATGTAGTGAAACAATTTGTAAAAATATGCATTGGTGTTTGAAATTGCAAAACTCTTGATGGCATTCGATTGATTAAAAAAGTGGTTGTAAGAACAGCCTCTCCCCACAAATATTTTGGAACCTTTGTTGTAAAAAGTAGAGCTCTTACAATTTCAAGCAGATGCTTATTTTCTCTCTGCAATTCCATTTTGCTGAGGGGTATCAACACAAGTGCTTTGATGAACAATCCCATTTTCTACAAAATATTCTCCCAATTTTTTTTGAAATATTCTGTACCATTATCACTTCGAAACACTTTTATCTTAGCCTGAAATTGGGTTTTTATCATGTTATGAAAATCTTTGAAAGTTTGTTCTGCATCAGATTTATCTTTCAATAAGTACACCCAAGTTACCCTCGTGTGATCATCAATAAAAGTTATAAACCATCTCTTACTAGATAATGTGGCAATCCTAGATGCCCCCAAATGTCACTGTGAATGACAGAAAATGGTTCTGATGGTCTATATGGACGTGCAGGAAAAAAGTGCGTTGATGTTTGGCTAGTTCACAAATACCACAGTGAAAAAAAGATGGATTTTTATTGATAAACAAATTTGGAAACAAATACTTTAGATAATGAAAACTAGGATGTCCTAACCTTAGATGCCATAACATAATTTTATTTTCACTAGTAACAGAACTAGAATTGAAACAAGTGGCTAGGGCTTGTCCTGTCAAGGTCGATCCATCTTCAAGGAAATAAAGTCCACCCTTTTGTTTAGCATTGCCAATCGTCTTCCCCGAGTCGGTTCCTGAAATTCACAATGAGTAGGGAAAAAGTGAGCTTGACATTTCAAATCATGTGTTAGTTTACTGATAGACACAAGATTACAAGAAAGATTTGGGACATGAAGGACATCATGGAGGGTGATATGCGGTGAAATAACAATTGAACATTTTCTATGTATAGCTGAAAGAGACCCATCTGCTATTTTTATTTTTTGACTCCCTACAGATGGATTATAAGAGAAACAAATTTGAAAATCGATCATGTGGTCAGTTGCCCCGGAATCTATAATCCAGTGTGATTAGTATCCGGTTGGGCACTTATCAAGGCAGTAGAAAAAAAGAGTACCTTTCTGGGCTAGGGAACAGGAAGGAGAAGAAGATTTTACAGGTAGATTGGTGGATTGAAGCAGTTTGCATACATTCTCCAATTGTTCCTTTGTGAACGGGAGTTGTTCTGTAGAAGAGTGACGATTCTGATCATCTGAGGCTTGGAATGCCCGATTAACTCCTTTCCTCTTCCAATTTGGAGGTTTTCCATTCAGCTTCCAGCAGGTATCACGGGTGTGCCAAGACCTTTTACAATGATCACACCAAGGCTTATCAACACGTCTGGAACTCCTCTTTTCACCTCTAGGTTCCGGACCTCTAGAGAACAAGGCCGAAGACTCCGTTTCTGAAGTAGCTTCTGCCCCGGTCATCATCACATGTCGTCGAGCTTCTTCTCTTCGAACCTCAGAAAAGACTTTCCTGATATTCGGGAGAGGTTTCCTGCTTAAAATCCTACCACTGACTTCGTCTAATTCCCGGTTTAGGCTTGTCAGAAACATGTAAACTCATTCATCCTCTTCTCTCTTTAAGTGTTGAACGCTATCCTTGGAGCTTTCCCATTCCTCCTCATAACACTGATCTAGCTCCTGTCATAATGTAACCTTTTCGTTGTAGTATACAGTAACCTCACGATCTCCCTGTTTCACTTTCCATAGTCGCGTTTTGAGGGCAAAAATTTGTGAGGGATTTTCCAAATCAGAGTACGTATCTCGGACAACCTCTCATACTTCTTTTACGGTAGGAATAAAAAGAAATGGTTTTTCGATCGCCGGTTCCATTGAGTTAATAAGCCAGACAGTAACCATGGAATTTTCCGATCTCCAAATCTTGAGATTCGGATCATCATCTGTTGGTTTCTTCACCTCACCAATCAGGTGTCCAAGTTTCCCTTTTCCATCAATTACAAGCTTGACGATTTGGGCCCATTCTAGGTAGTTTTTACTGTTCAACTTGTGGGTGGTCAATTGCCACGTATTGCCTGATGATGTAGCCGAAGGATCCACTCCTGAGATTATAGGCATGGTCGTCGTACTGACAACCTGCTCTCCCGAGGAAACTGAGCTGCTGTTGGCTCCGGTGAAAGCAGTTCCAAATTGGCCAAATTGGTACTGCACCATAGCTTCGGTCAGACCAGAGTCTATGATACCATGTAGGCTTTGAGAAGGGAGAAACTCAGAATGTTTTTATTATCCCTCAAGCAAACGTACATAGCTGAATAAATAGCCTAAGAGGGTTGAGATTATTTTACAGAATCTCAACCACTTATTAATTTAAAAGAAAAGATAAAGCCTTTCACTAACAAACTAAATCAAATATAATCAATAACTAAATCAAATATAATCAATACTTATCTGCTATCATACCAAATATTTTAAAAAATAACAAACCTAATACTAATCTCCTAGATTCTCGACACACTGAAACTTCGAAGTTGTGAGGATTGATGGTTATATTTTTGTATTCTAACAAAGAGTAAAGCTGTCCAAACAGTGGATTGCATCTTCGGTATTTGTACTTACAGAGACATGTAGTTGTACATGCATTGTTTAACCAACAAGCATTGTTCTAAATATCATATGTTGGGGATATGTTGAACGAAAAACTTCCACAGTAAATGGCAGAATTGGGGATGTGTTGGAGATACTTAATAAATATTGGGGTCTCATATCGGATAATGTATATATACTAAGGTTTTAAATGTTAGATGTTGGGTTTATGTCGGACGGCTAAAATTCATGTCAGCGAAAATCGGGAATATCGAGAGACAAAAAATATCGGATTGTCATATTGGATGGTGTGCATATGTGTAATATAAATATCATAAATGGAATCTAAACATACTTAATAAATTCTATTGTCTAAGCATATAAAAAAAAAAAATAACTTATGATGCTTAAGGTTGATGTTGAAAGAAGTAAGAAAAGAGGAGCCCGATGTTGATAGTTAGGGAGAGAGAAGATCACCCAATATAGATGTGGAAGGAACAACTCGGAGAAGAGACTGATGAGATGTCGAACGAGAGAGAGAAGAGAAGCGACATAAATAATTTTGATCTTTTTTTTTCATTTCCCCAAATTGATCGGGTTTTATCATTGGAAGTAACATTAAGACAATCAGGAATTTAAACACAAACCCGATTAGATAAGCATAACAAAAAAATCAGCGAATTTCTTAGACTGAAAAATCGCCCGACATAGCCGACATGTCCCCCGATATATCCGTCCGACATATCCGACATGTCCCCTGATATATCCGACATGAATCCTAAAAACGCAATACACATTGAAAAGCTCCATGTCGTGTCGGTTGGCCCCTAAATCTGACATGTCGTCCAACATGTCCAACATGACGGCCGACATTTAAAACACTGCTTAATGGAGATTAATACTTGGTGATTTTTGGGTCGTAACAATAGATGTTCATACTTGGTGCACTAACGGGTCAAGCTGTGGGGTAGGTGATATCTTTTGGAAAACTTTTGCAAAAGAATTAGGCTAAATTGAGCTCTAATTCTTCTTCTCAATTATTTACATAAGCATATATTGTTCGGGATTAGATCTTAGTTGAATCATAAGTTCAAATCAGCATTATAGCATTTCAATCTATTTTTAGGACGAAATCTCACATGAAATATGGGAAAATTCATGATATATTGCTCAAGCCAAAAAGCGACAAAGGATATTTAGACCGTATCATTTTACGGTGAGCCTTCTAAAAGGATATATTGACCAATATATCTGATATATCTGGGATATTTAAAAGAATGCCCAGCGTGTAGCCAAACGCACCCTTAAGAGTGGTAGCAGCCGAAGTAAATTTGTTTCATATGACAAATCTAGATGGAGTTACGGCGGAATGTGACTTCTCTGTTTGGTATTCGCTTGCTCTTTGCCAGTAGTTAGATAATCAATGATGTTTGCTTATATTGCTTAAGTTTTCGATATCTCCCCTCTCACATCTTAATTTGAGAAGAGCCCCTTCCTCGCAAAACAACACCCAAGAACATAAAAAAAGTGAAAACAAGATCCTGCTATCTGCAAAGTCTCATCTTATTTAAGTTGTTTTACAAGTAACTTTTGCTAGTTTGAGCATTTGTTCCGAAGAATATTTCTTTGAACTTCCATGTCAAGATCATATTCCTTTTTTCACTTTTCATGCTTTTAAAGATATCATTCTTTAAACGGTTATTGCTTAATGGTTATAATCAGCCATGAAGAGGAGGAACCGACACCTTCTTCAACACTGGCCCTCTCCTCTCTTGCCCTCTCTCTTGTCTCCTTTGGCCACTCTTCTCCAAGTAGTGCTTCTTGTCTAGTACATCTCATGTACATCAGCTTCTTCCTCTCTCAGTTTATCTTCTCTTGTCTTAGCAACTACCTATCTAGTTAAGGATGATTTAGGGAGAATTTTGAAAGAAGTCATCTTGTATTCGTCTAGAAGATTACCATGATAATCATCTAATTCAATCTAACCTCTATCAGTATGGATATAAATCATATGAACCCAACTTCAGCGACATAATTAAATACTAGGATAAAGTTTATCATTTATGCAAAGACGTATAATTTTGTTAATAAAATAGATAACAAGCTTGTCAGATTTAGATCATGGAACCATTTGCTAGGAACCAGCATCCACATCAACAGAGACTTTGTTCCTAAATAGTTTTGGTTGGCTCAAATTGATTAATTCAATTCTGGAAGGAGCAACATTACCAGATTGACAGAGTCTGTCAGCCACTTAGACATTCTTTTTACATTTTGATTTCACCAAACTCCTTGTCATAAATTAACTTTTATAAATTAGGTATATTAGTGCCGTTGAAATGTTTGTATGCATAAATTAATATCTAAGGATGTGAATTATGATAATTTGTTTAGGAAATGATGGAGAGAGGAATTCATGAGTATGCGGAAAAAGGATGAAATGTAGAAGCTCCACACGTTTCTTTTTTAAATTTAACAATTTATAAAAGTATACAGTTTTACACCCAAGAACTCATCGCATAGAAAAAAATGGGAAGAAGATTGCACCATTTTTCAAAGGCCTCATAATTTTTTTGTAAAGATAATCCTTTTTCTTAACTGAAGAAAGGTCTAGGACTTCATAGACTTACATGATCACTAAAGTCCTAGTTAATAGGGAAGGATCCTAATTTTATTAAAACGAAAGATTTATGTAAGAATTAGGCTGTAAAAAAATAATCCAAATCAAATAAAGTTCTACATAAACTAAATCCTTACTTAATGAGTTGTCTTTTGTAGGCAAGGGGACAAACACTATCTTGTACTATAATCAAAATCCTAATATCCTAAAAGATGTTTCGACTATCATGCTTCTTTGCTACATGAACTGTTTTTTTCTTTGTTCACTTTGTTTGTTCGTGATGATTCTAGATAATCCATTTTTCTATGTCGTTCTACATCCTGACTATATCAGTGTGATCTGTGTTTATATTGGATAGCTCCTCTCACTCGTGGAATTGAAACTGAAGGAAGCGATCACTAGGGAGCCTACGCTTCTTGTTATAGTTGTTGGGGTTCCTAATGTTGGCAAGTCAGCTCTTATTAATTCCATCCATCAGATTGCGACTTCTCGCTTTCCTGGTAAAATACACTTATAAGATATGCAATCCACTAATTTTTAGAAAGCATTAAAGTGATTATGTTGTACTTAGTTTATGAGATGAGTTAGCAGCATTTTGCTGTTCTCTTAGTGCAGAAGATAAAACGAGCTACTGTTGGACCATTGCCGGGTGTCACACAAGATATTGCTGGATTTAAGGTCATTTACAATCTTATTCCCTTATGTTTATATTTTAACCCAACTGAATAATTTTCCATATATTTTTTCCTTTCTATAATCATTTTTCCTATAAGCTGTATTATTGTGTTTAGTAGATTTTAATTGTGGAAATTTATGCATGAGATATTGATTGATTCTGTCTTTTGTGGCATCTCATGATTTGATTATTTGCCACTGGAGGAGTGTAGCTTGAAATGTTCTCAAGCATAAACAAATACTTTAAATCCTGAGAAAAACAAAGAGATTGGTAAAAAAACGTCTAATATAAACAAGATTGACCTTAGTTGGAAATTCTATTTGAGCTCTTTATCATTTGTCTGTCCTGTAAGCATCATTTCCTGACATGTATGCTTTGTATAGGTCAGCAATCTGATATGCAGGTTATTATTTCAGCTATTTTGTAGCTTTATCTGTTGCGGTTATGCTCTGCATATATGCAAGTACAGATTGTGTTTGCTTTTCATTCCTAGTACAACATATGCAGGTTTAATTCAGTAACTGAATTTAATTTTGATTCTACAATGCATGATTGTTGTATACTACATGGTCATATTGTAATAGTAAATTCTTTCTAGCTAGGACACGCTGCATGCTATTCGTGCAGATAAAGATCGTCCTCCATCTCCTCATGTGTGTTTCATCTTGAATAAAAGTATATTGGTTTTTGATAATAGGCTAGATATATTTTATCAAATGATGAATAATACTCTGCTGTTGTCCCTTGGTAAGTTTTGACAAGTGTGTTTTATCTTTGGCTTTTACCTTGTGCCCTAGAGTTGAGTGCTAATGACGCAATCCCTATAGCAATTATATCACATTCTTTCCATCTTCTATCTTCTTGCTTAATGCCAGCTGGTTCCATGAGCTTAATCTGCAAAGCTAGTAAGACGGCTTCCCAATCTTCTACGGATCTCGATTTATGTCAAGAAAAGCCCCACACTTATTAATATTTTCCTGTTCAAGTGTGGTGTTAGGTTAGTGATTGTAGTCTTGTAGATTTAGGGCAATCTTTCCATGGAGTCTTTTCCCGATTGGGAAACCAAATGCAAGGAGAAAAGGCAGCAATCTCAGTGGTGATATTTAGCGAAGGTCCTGATCTTTTATCTTACTTAAAGTAGATTAATGTGTAAAGCCTCTTATGCTGAGAAATATACTATTGATGTTTAAGAAACCAGTGTTATCACTTATCAGTATAAATCTCTGAATTTATAATATAAATTTAATTCATATCAAAGTAAGTGACTGAAAACCGAAAAGGGTTTAATATGTGGCTTAAGCAGTCCACACCAATTTTCAAATTTATTTTATCATTTAGGACAAAATTGAGAAATGTCCAGCATGTTACAAGCTTTGGGTTTCCAAAAAAGTTCAATGTCATATATGACTGAAATTCATCATCAAACCATCTGTACTACGTATATTTTGCTGAACACGGCCCACTTTTATGTTTAAAGAAACCTTCTGCACAGAAGTTTCATGATTTCTATAACTAATGAAGAATGACCGATAATGCAGTGGCACTTGACATTGTTTTGACAAAACAGAAGACAAGTTATTAAAGAAACAATGCGTTGCTTGCTGTCCATGTGTGCACATGCTACTAATATGGCAATATTTGGACGGTTTATATGCTAATTCTTTCAGTGGATGATTTTATGTGAACCACTGTATATAGCATTAGTATGATAGCAGATACGTGCAAGTAGATGAGATAGTTGCAAATAAGATATTTGCTATCATGTTAATGTTATAGACAGTGGTCCTTTCTTTTCTTTCTTGATTGACAATTAAAGAGAACTTACTAGTTTAAAATGTTTGTTGAGTGCTGTGATCAATGTTAACATGTTGACATTATCCTGTTTATCTAGTATAATATGTACATGTGTAACTACACTGGAAGGTTGTCCACAGATCGCAAACCAGCCAAGCATATATGTACTTGATACACCAGGTGTGCTGGTGCCAAGCATTCCTGACATGGAAACTGGTTTGAAGCTTGCTTTGACAGGTATGTTTGCAGCTCTGTTTGTAATTATCAGCAACAAAATTGTTTTTTAATGTATTACATTTCTTTGATCAGCATCACAACATTAAAAGAACCAAAAAAAAAAAAAAACTGCCTTGTTATTCCCTTACAATTAAACATAATTTTTTTTGATGTAACCACCTGATCTCTCGGGACTTTTTGGATCCACCCTCAGCCGACCACCTCTATCTTATCTTCAAGCTGCATCTGAATCATGCACAACTAAAATGTTATTTGAAATTAGATAATTATCGTGGTATCTAATTAACCATAGAAGAGTATTAGAAGTATGTAATTCATGTGCAACAACAAGCCTTCATACTTACGGTAGCTCATTTAACAGTTTGTATACTGTACATAGATGATTATGTGGGTGCTCTAATAAAGCTAAGAGCAATCTTAATTCTTAGGCATTGAAACTTAACAGAACCACTGAAGTCAGGTATACATGCCCTATTGGAGGTACTATGAGTAATGATGATATCATTAAATACCTACAATCTTGTAAGAGAAAATTAGTGTTACCACTAGTTTGCAGAATGCTAGCAATGACACGGAGTCAAGACTCATGAATAGTTGATACCATTCATTGGTAGTATACTGTGAAGATTATGTGGCTGCTAGATCCAAAAGTTGAGTTATGGAAAAGCTGGAAATACGGTTGGAGATACACAAGGCATAGAAAAGTTGGTTGAGCAATACCATGCAGTGTAGGTTGAAGTGGACAGGGAGATAACATGGGATGAGACTACGTCAAACATTTTCTGCATTGAAGTATTAAAGTTAAATTGTGAGAATCATGGTAATATATGTATTTATGATTTACAGATATGATTGCTAATTGGTAACCTTCCGAGTGCGAACCACGGAGAGAGTATCCAAACTCTGCATTTAGGTGGTAATATTTTATTTCGTATTTACTTTTCCAAATAATAGATGGAGACGGATGCTCTTTAAGTGTATAATCTAGTTGAGGTCTAATTTTTTTTTTATAGGAGCTAATGGTATGTACTTTTTAATACCTCTCATTTAGATCTGTTCATTTCTTGGAGTTCTGTTTATGATTGTAATGTCAATTTGTAGAGAAACGTGTCCCACCATGAGAGACAGAGAGAGATAACCTTTTCTTGCACTCTAATGTCAATTTGTAGAGAAACGTGTCCCACCACGAGAGAGAGGGGGAGAGAGAGAGAGAGAGAGAGAGAGAGAGAGAGAGAGAGAGAGAGAGAGAGAGAGAGAGAGAGAGAGAGAGAACCTTTTCTTGCACTCAGTTACTTGAGCTTTAAGGCCGAGCTTTCAACCACATACAAACACTATTGGATATATCATTAAATTAATAACATTTTATTCATGCAGGAGCGGTGAAAGATTCTATAGTAGGTGAAGAACGTCTGGCAGAGAGAGAGAGAGAGAGAGAGAGAGAGAGAGAGAGAGAGAGAGAGAGAGAGAGAGAGAGAGAGAACCTTTTCTTGCACTCAGTTACTTGAGCTTTAAGGCCGAGCTTTCAACCACATACAAACACTATTGGATATATCATTAAATTAATAACATTTTATTCATGCAGGAGCGGTGAAAGATTCTATAGTAGGTGAAGAACGTCTGGCAAAATATTTACTGGCTATATTGAATACTCGTAAAACACCGTTACACTGGGAGCGATTGAACAAAGTGCAAACTGAAGAATCTTCATCTGATTCCAAGATAAGCAGCGGAACTTCGCTTAAAGAATCAATACCCAGAAGAAGGAGACGAGTAAATAGTTCTGATGTTTTCTATATCGAGGTATTGTGTGATTATCACTTCCAGTAACATGTTGACGTGATTCGTGCATTTTACAGTGAATTCAGAATATACCATCCATATAGCCACATAGAACACCCATAGAACTTCTCTTGTGGTAGTGTGATGCTACTCTCTTGATATATTATTGACTGCAGTTTGCTTATTAATACGTCTTAACTGAAGATAGTCAAGGGAGAGAGAGAGAGAGAGAGAGAGAGAGAGAGAGAGAGAGAGAGAGAGAGAGAACCTTTTCTTGCACTCAGTTACTTGAGCTTTAAGGCCGAGCTTTCAACCACATACAAACACTATTGGATATATCATTAAATTAATAACATTTTATTCATGCAGGAGCGGTGAAAGATTCTATAGTAGGTGAAGAACGTCTGGCAAAATATTTACTGGCTATATTGAATACTCGTAAAACACCGTTACACTGGGAGCGATTGAACAAAGTGCAAACTGAAGAATCTTCATCTGATTCCAAGATAAGCAGCGGAACTTCGCTTAAAGAATCAATACCCAGAAGAAGGAGACGAGTAAATAGTTCTGATGTTTTCTATATCGAGGTATTGTGTGATTATCACTTCCAGTAACATGTTGACGTGATTCGTGCATTTTACAGTGAATTCAGAATATACCATCCATATAGCCACATAGAACACCCATAGAACTTCTCTTGTGGTAGTGTGATGCTACTCTCTTGATATATTATTGACTGCAGTTTGCTTATTAATACGTCTTAACTGAAGATAGTCAATTACTTGGGTGTGAACCATCTCATTGGATCCCCTATAGGAGTGTTGTAAACGTTTTTTGTTATGTGCAACACTTATAGCGCATTTAATTTGGTATCTTAGTACTAGAA